CTGCTATGTTTATTTTCCAATGCTTCACATAGATGAGATACCGTATCCAAATACACATCTCAATGATCTCAATCTCAGTGGATTCATTACACGGTCGAGAAGGTAATTTTCCCACTATACGAGCAGTACACACTGATATACATTATGTATCCAAGTCATTTGGCGTTGGGGGGTTTTTACACTCCCGGAAGGCCAGAAACTTAATTATGCAAAACAGTACGCCTGGCAAATTTATCCATTTCATTCTGTATGCATGCAGATGTGACAGAGCACAGGTGCAGATGTGACAGAGCACATGTTGAACGGATTCGAGCGAGAGGCTTACAAACTGTAGGATTAACACCTCATTCAAGACCACACTACTCTAGCATATTTTATCATAAAATGTATTAAAAGTTTCTTTCACCATAAGTAGGCTACTATTGCACTGGTAAGACCACTTATAGCTCATTATATCAGCGAGAACGAAATTGAGCAGCATGATAATTATCAATAATAAGCTCCTTCCTTTGCACAATACATGTCGGCGCCTGACTAACTATAAATAAATAATCATGTGTGCACAAGACTGGGAACCCGGAGGTGAGCGCGAAATGACCTGGTACAGTTTTCTAGCGCTCACGATAACACAGAGAAAGGGTGGAACACACGCACGCGCACACACACACACACACACACACACACACACACACACACACACACGAGACCTCGGACCTCAACGCCCACCAGCTTCCATACTGAAAAAGCAAAGTAAAATAAGTGGAGAGTCTCTCCAGAGTCCAATATGAACAAAGGCTATGTCAATATTCTGATCATTCACTTCTCTCTCTCTCTCTCTCTCTCTCTCTCTCTCTCTCTCTCTCTCTCTCTCTCTCTCTCTATGTCAATATTCATTCACTTTGCTCTCTCTCTCTCTCTCTCTCTCTCTCTCTCTCTCTCTCTCTCTCTCTCTCTCTCTATGCAAATATTCAGTCACTTTGCTCTCTCTCTCTCTCTCTCTCTCTCTCTCTCTCTCTCTCTCTCTCTCTCTCTCCATGTCTATATTCATTCACTTTCCTCTCTCTCTCTCTCTCTCTCTCTCTCTCTCTCTCTCTCTCTCTCTCTCTCTCTCCGTATGTTTTTGTAGTACTTTGTATGTTTTGTGTTGTGCGTGTGTGTGTGTGCGTGTGTGTGTGTGTGTGTGTGTGTGTGTGTGTGTGTGTGTGTGTGTGTGTGTGTGTGTGTGTCTTTCTGTCTGGAAAGGGGGGGGGGGGGAAATTAAAGAGTGTGCTGGTGAATCAATTGTGCGCGCTCCGAAGCAGCATGCTACATCTGAGTTTATGAACATTTAATTTTTAAATGATTAATAAATGAAAGCGTACTAATGATTGTCGGTGATGTGGTGTGTACCAGAGCCTATGATTGTCGTTGATGTGGTGTGAACCAGAGTCTATGATTGTCGTTGATGTGGTGTGAACCAGAGTCTATGATTGTCGTTGATGTGGTGTGAACCTGAGCCTAAGATTGTCGGTGATGTAGTGTGTACCTGAGCCTAAGATTGTCGGTGATGTAGTGTGAACCTGAGCCTAAGATTGTCGGTGATGTAGTGTGTACCTGAGCCTATGATTGTCGGTGATGTAGTGTGTGCCTGAGCCTATGATTGACGTTGTTGTAGTGTGTACCTGAGCCTAAGATTGTCGTTGTTGTAGTGTGTACCTGAGCCTATGATTGTCACTGATTTGGTGTGTGCCAAAGCCTATGATTGTCACTGATGTGGTGTGTGCCAAAGCCTATGATTGTCACTGATGTGGTGTGTGCCAAAGCCCCTCTCTTTCGTGCAGGCCTACGTACATGTACCTTACGTGTCATAAATGAATCTAGCCACAACAAGACGAACTCTACCCCCTCTGACATTTACGATTGTTGTCTCCGGCTCGGGGGAAATGTCAAAGGAAAGAAAAGACAAAAAAACAAACACAACTGAGCAGCAGGGCACTCCTCATCTCCAACAATAACGCGCGTACCAACTTGTTGTGCAAAAAGGGAGAGTTGGTTTGTTATCGTCGGTGGCCTAGTGGTTAGGCTCTCGGACTCGCAACCGTAAGGTCGTGGGTTCGAATCCCGTCAAGGGCCCGACGTTGTGTCCTTGGGAAAGGCACTTTACACGAATTTTCCTCACTTCACCCAGGTGGGAATGGGTACCCGGCTATAGACAGCGAAAGATCTTGTCAGGTTGTTAGTGTTTGAGCGCTTAATCGGCTGCTCGCACTGTATGCTTCCCGGGAAGCTGAGAATGTTTCGGAGTGTTCTATGGTCTGCTGGGGTAATAATATAGTGTAAAGCGCATAGAGCCTGCTGTTGAGCGGGGATATGCGCTATACAAATGCTATCTATTATTATTATTATTATTATTATCGTATTTCTAATCTTAAGGGAGAGGGAAAGACTTAATCTCGGTTTAGAGCCTAGCGTTATAATAACTAAAGAAAATCGTCTAAAAACAAACAAGTATTTTATCATGCTTGACTCCAGGAGTGTCTCTCAAACATCACAACGTGGGGAAAAATATGCTGAGATTATATCCCATAGTAGTTGGTGATAGCTGTGTCGCCTCACGGCAAGCAGCTGATCTTGTCCGATAACTCTAGACTGGTGTCAGTTTAAGATAGATGAAGATGTGGGTTAAACTTAGTAGAGGATTAGTTTATTTTTTCGAAGTGACTATTTCTCCGAACGTTCGGAGAAATAGTGCCGATCTTTATTTCTCCGAACGGTTTTCGGCTTCCGGTCTCGTGATTTTTTGCCTATTTATTGCGAGAGTTCGGCGCCAACTTTCATTCTGCCTCTGGTCTGGGAAGGAACACGTACCGCATGGCAAGCCCGCCTACAGACAACCTTCAGTAACACCCACCACACACCCACCATCATCATGCACATGTACACACACTAACTAAACATAACTAGTGGGCAACTTTTGAACGTATGACGAGCTGAACTGTGGATGGAGAGACAGTGTGAGTGAAAGAGCGGGTGAAAGGAAGAATGTGCGAGTGTATCCACAGGCGACAGCAACTACAAGACGACGACACTGACCACCCCTGGCCTGGTCCACAGCTCACGAACAAAAGGAATGCAGCTCAGGCGGTGTTTTGCCTATATTAGTGTCCATGGTTCGCAGGGAACAAGTGAGATTTTCTTTGTGTGTGCCTGGAGGGATGGGGTGGGGTATGAAAGTCATGCGGACGGGGATGAGCCGCGGGAGAGAACACGGGAATTGAATGAAAGAGTGAAACTGAAAGAGACGAATGACTCATGAGTCCTGGAGTGAATGGATCATGTGTTTCTATTTTTGTATACTTTGAACTGTTACTGAATAAAGGCTGAAATAAAGCCCGAAAAACAAACAAACACACACACTCCTCACTCTCCACTTACTACCACACACAGACACACTCAAACACACATACACACACACACACACACACACACACACACACACATACACACAGGAGCAAATTTTTGGGTCTATATCTATTTCAATTTTCAACAGCTAGTCTAGATGAGATTTTTAGATGAGTGTAAAAACGTGAAAAAGAAAGGTTTCACAACAGAAAGAAATCAAAATTAGAACAGCCCATAAACAACAACAAACATTAACAAATAAGGGCGTGTGTCCACCTGTCCGAAGAAGATTGGCAGTTTTAACCCTAAATGTGCGTAATTTTTAAAAAAGTACAGGATATTACATGTAAATTATGGAATCACACATATTAAGGGGCTTGCCAGTGTCAGTACATTGGTCGCAGCAGTGACAAACGCAGATGCCAGTTCTATGTGTCGTTATCAATAACCCTCCGTAGATCTAGATCTAGACAGCACACGAGTGAACACAACACATTACGTTTAAAAGCAGCACCTTTCATAGGCAACACGTCATATCTATAGCGAAAAACTGTTTGGAATTGTAGCATTTCTTTATATAAATATTTACGGCGGACATTTTTTGGACCGATTGAACCATATTGTAAACGAACAATCTTTGGTAGGCCCATACTATAATTATAGATCTATATAATATCCGAAATTTGGGGGAAAGGATGATATTTCAGAGTGTTCGGAGAAATAGTGCCCAGCTTTATTTTCCTGAATGTTCGGAGAAATAGTGAACAGCTTTATTTTCCCGAACGTTCGGAGAAATAGTGCCGGCCTTATTTTTTTTAGTTTAAGTAAGTGTTTTGCGGCACTTGCAACACAATAAGGTCATTATAAGTGCTGAAGATTTTATATGAGTTACTTGTATAGAGAGTAAACAAACACAAAAAGAAGGAGAGATTTAAGGACGATAGATGTTTGATAGAGGAAAGAAGGAGCAAACCACACCAGAGCACCCGCCAACCACCCACTGAGGATTAGTTTGAATCTCCAAAGAGAAATCTACCCTAATCTTAAACTTTACACAATATCCTCTAGCAGTGGTCCCCATGTATCAAAAGACTTACCACGGATAAAATTACTTCATTTAAAATCAAGATTGGAAGGGACTTTGAACTTTTACAGGACTAAAAAGACCCAGATGACAGTGAAGTTTGAGAGTGAACTGACATTGTTAAAAAAGAAAAGATAGAAAACGAAAACTAATAACTCCTAAAAATGAAGGCGGATTCCTCTTTGCTCTTAGCACGCAATGGAAGAAACAATTCACAAACGTTGAGTCTCCAACTACGAGCCAAGCCGTCGTAGTGTAGGAAGTAAATAAATGATCATTACAAAGGCTAGTAAAATGTACTCGAATTCTAAAATCTCCCGACACGCATATAATTTTCCTTCCTGTGACGTCGTAATCTGGTGCCACTTTATACCAAAATTCAAATATAAGAGAATTCTTAACAATATATATATACACTGTATATATATATATATATATATAGAGAGAGAGAGAGAGAGAGAGAGAGAGAGAGAGAGAGAGAGAGATCTATATAGATACACTCGATCTGAAAGTGTGTCAATTGTGGGGTACTTACCATAAGTTTTCCTAGGTGTACCCTCTTGGGTATCCTGAAACTGCTCATATCCATCGCGTGATTTGGCGTTTCCCATTGTGCTGACACCAAAGTTCAGTGAAAAAAATTGAACAGCAAACTGTTGGAATTGAACTCACCACACACACAAACTCGTCAAATTGGTCACCCTAATTGTAGCACCTCACACAACTTCGCAACTCAATATTCGAACTTCATTCACATTTTGATTCAGAATCAGCAGCCTGGGAATTGTATCAAGAATCCCTCTGAAAATAAAAATGTTTAAAATGAAAAGAATGAAAAAAGAAAACTACTTTTACCAACAACTACTAAAATGAAGGCGGATTCCTCTTTGTTCTAGGCCTAGACACGTGATGGGAGGAACACTTCACAAACGTTGAGTCTCCAACTACGAGCCAAGCCGTCGTTGTGTAGGAAAAGTAAGTAAATGCTGCTTTACTGTAGGCCTAATCAATTTCTTCTTCACCAATCCTCAACACGCGTGACTGTGAGCCGCGTACACGCCAGAGGTGGGTGGTGGGTGGTGTGTGTGGTAGATGGCTCGCCCGCTGGTTATAAGTCCCCTCCTCTCCTCCTGCCTCCTGACTGCTGACTGCTGACTGCACATTCGTGAAACCCCCAGGTCTGAAGTGGGGGGGTTCAAGCAGAGAGTGGTTCAACCGCCCTGCGATCGGCGGCAAAGTCAGCCCGTCCGTGGACAGAAGGTGTTTCACAACATTGGCCACGACTCGACACTCGCACACAACATCGGCGCCGCGAGAACACGTTAGTCTGAATAGTGGTGGATAGCCTAGCCTTGCCAAGGCCTGGAGGAGGGAAGCGAGGGTGGGAGGAGGGGGGGGGGGGTAGCCAGGCGGATTGGCACGTTCGCTACGGTTGAGGGGATTAAAAAGTACTGTGTGTTTTGCAAGACGTGTGTATGTGTGCGTGTGTGTGTATGCATTGACCTGATTCTGCGTTGTATAGTAGACACTCTATACGAACATAATCAGACACTAGCTTAAAAATACGTGATCAGGTCTCTCTCTCTCTCTCTCTCTCTCTCTCTCTCTCTCTCTCTCTCTCTCTCTCTCTCTCTCTCTCTCTCTCTCTCTCTCTTTCTCTGCCTGCCTGCATACCTGCCTGTCTGTCTGTCTGTCTCAATCTCTCCTCTCTCTCTCCCCTCTCTCTCCCCTCTCTCCCTCTCTCCCTCTCTCTCTCTCTCTCTCTCTCTCTCTCTCTCTCTCTCTCTCTTTCTCTCTTCCTCCCTCTCTATCGTTCTCTCCCCTTCCCCCCCTCTCTCTCTCTCTCTCTCTCTCTCTCTCTCCTCTCTCTCTCTCTCTCTCTCTCTCTCTCTCTCTCTCTCTCTCTCTCTCTCTCTCTCTCTCTCTCTCTCTCTCTTTCTTTCTCTCTATTTCTTCATTACAAGTCACACATCAAAAAGCAGCGAAATATGTGTTACCAGGGGCAGGTCTCATCAATCTTATAGTTACACATGACTCCCCAATTGTTGGTTTGGGGCGGTTTTGTGTGTGTGGGGGGGGGGGGGCGTCTCTTTTTTTTGTTGTTGTTTTTTGTATGGAACCTATGTATTAAAATGAAGATGGACTAATTTCACAAAAAAGGTATAATAGGTCTGTTGAAGGACTGCCATTAGCAATTTAAAAATCCTCTCACGGAAGCCTATAACACACCTGAACCTGATTTTATCTTTCAGTTGCGCGAACCCTCAAATGTAGACGGAACAAATTACGAATGTTACAACGTTTTTGTTTTGTTTGTTGTTGTTGTTTTTGTTTTTCAAGGTCAACACGTATGTCCCGTGACAGTTCACAGAAAGGGAATAAAACAAAACAAAACAAATTTAAAAAACGGGGGACCGTGGGAACTGACGTAATGATGACATAGGAAACTCTGAGGTGTCTGGATTTGCCACCTCGTGACTAGAGGTGGGCAAAATCCGGATAATCTACATAAGGATAACCGGATAATTCTCAGTGATACATTAACCGAATTGAGACTCTTAACTCACTTTCCTGACCACTGACCTAAAAAAGATGTCTTTTTAGGTCCGTGTTCCTGACCCGTTTGCCTAAGTGCCTGCACCCATTTATTGTTCAAGTGGTTCTAAAATATTTGCCGAATCGGTTCATAAACATTCTTATTTGCAGGAGAGATGCACTAACATATCCGGATTTTGCTAAAGGGACTCATTGCCCAGCCTTACTCGTGACATACTTCAACAGCACTCAACTAGAAAAGAAACAAGTGAAGAAAGTATTCTGAACAATGTACAAGGCATTGTAGTGCTCTCGTTTCGTTTTAAAGTTAAAGAGATGTCCTTATCTCCTGGCACTACATGAAGTCTTTTCTGGGTTACTAGGATATTGGACACTCGACAAAAATAATTGGAATATCTTCCTTTTCACGTAGCATTTTGTTCTCATCTTTCCTATTCCTTTTTTATTCTCGTCCGACATTCTGTTCTGTCTCTCTCTCTCTCTCTCTCTCTCTCTCTTTCTCTCTCTCTCTCTCTCTCTCTCTCTCTCTCTCTCTCTT